AAACTGATGGCAGATATTTGGGTGTGTGAACAAAATAAAAAAAAACTGGAACAGGGCAGAGATTTACAGGAAAAACTTCTTGTAAATTTGCATTGGCCTACAGTAACAGTCTTACTCAGTATTCACAGTGATTAGAGGAGATGCACGGTTTTATGGTTAAAACACTCAGCTGGGACTCAGGAGATCTGAGTTCAATTCCTAGATTTGCCACAGAGTCCCTATATGATCTTGGGCAAGTCACTTCATCCCTCTATGCCTCAGTTTCCCTAGCTGTGAAATGGAGAATGGCACCTCCCTATCTTAGCAGGTGTTGCAAGAATAGATTTGTTAATGCTTGTAAGGTTCCCAGGTATTCTAGCGATGGGACCATAAAAATGCCTATAACTCAATTATTCATATCAGAAATGCAGGACCACAGAGTTGGCGAGAGTTTTGCACAGGTCGGGAGTGAAGAATAAGCCACTACATTACGACATTGACTCTAGCTAGTCTAACCACTCTTTGAAGCAGATGATCATGAGTCTATTTGAAGCCTATAGAATTTCGCTGCGTATGCAGAAAGTGACAGCTCTCAGGTCCCGTTCTCAGTGATAGGCGGCCAGGAAATGGAACGGCACGAATTAATTGGGGTGACATGACTGTAGGAGTTGTGTGGGTGGGAATGAGAAACATTCAGCCAGCTTCAGACTGGTAACTAATCAGGTCAGGGCTTGCCATGGTTCTGTTACTTATTCTCAGATGCTAAGGCTCAGATGCTGATGAACTGGCAGGGGATAATAATGATGTTCAGAACAAAGCTAATGAGATTGGCCCCGTCTTCAAGAGCTGCAGTGTGATTTCCTGAAGAGAATGAGGCTGGTATCCAGTGCCAGCAATCAGCAGGCATAATTCTAACTTTGGGCCATTTTGGGAAGGACAGTCTTGTGGGTGAGGCACTAGACTAGGACTCAGGAGAGCTAGGTTCCATTCCTGCCTCTGCCACAGATTTTCTGTGTGAGTCACTTATTCTCTCTGTGCATAAGTTCTCCATCTCAACAATGGGGATAATGATTTTGATCCCCTCTACTGTGTGTATTGTTGTTCTAGACTGTAAGGTCTTTGTAACAGGGACTGTCTCTTATGTGTCTGTACTGCACTTAGTGGAATGGGGTTTTGAGCTCAACGGAGGCCTCTAGGTGCTATTATAGTACCAATAGATAATAACCGAGGGTGGATCACTGTGTTGAATAATTAGAAAACGCTGGGAAATAATGCCCTGGCATTTCAGCTACAGTAAGGCTGTTTGCCAGTTACTTCTTTGTACAGACCAGATATAGAACCTTGATGCAATGACAGTTTCCAAACCCGATCACTCATTGTTCCAGAACCCCTGCTGCCAGGCAACCTAATAAATGTGAAGATGTCTGATGCTCTGAGAACCTGGAATCTCTTGGCATTATTCATATAGTGCCTGATCCTGTCAATGGGAATTTTGATATTGACTTCAGTGGGACCAGAGCACAGCCACAATGCAGCTGTGGGATAATATCCTCTGTGTTTTCCAGTAAATCAGAAAAAAGATGGACGGAGAGCTCTTCCATTGGAGTAAATCCATGTAACGCCACTGGAATTTCACTGATTTATGCCAGTTGAAGGGCTGATTCTAAGAGATTATCAAATTAAAACAATCACAATCTGAATCAAACCATAAATAAAAGTACTGGGCCGCTTGGAAGGTCTTCAGCCATAATACGAATGAATAGTCTAAATTGTCTAAAGATGAGAACCTAAATAAAGTCACAAATTTTGACATTAAAACCTCCATCTTTCCCTGGAATCAGAGGTAGCTGAAAAAGGACAGAGCCCAGTTTTCAAATGCAGTTGCCTTCATTTGGATGCTCACATCAGCAATTAGGCAAGTAAATGCCCATTTTATATGGTAAGTTGTACGGTAATAGGGTAAATTACCCAGTAGTAATTTGTGTCTCAGTATGGGATGCCCACATTTGAAAATTGGATCCACAATCTATAGACCCTCGAAAGTACTTTTAAAAATTACTTGGATAGAAACTATATATTATTGTTATTTTTTACTCTTGTGACTGGATCTTGTTACAAAATTCTTGAAGAGCAGAGTTTTCTAGCCAAGGATTTGGAAAAATAAGTTCCTGTGTTTATTATCTCCTTAATTTGGAAATGTTAAGATACTGAGCTTTGCACCTTATAAATTACACCCAGATACTATGGTGATGGGTATCTTATACGTGCATCTAACAATCACAATTTGTTGTTATTATTATTTATTTATTATGCCATCTAATAAGTACGAAGAAAGAACAGAAGGAGGGAAAGAGGAGGGTTGCCTACTGCGTTTGTTCTTAATGCCCATGATTTTCAGCAATTCCTTTCCGAAAATACACCTGAACTTGCTGCTTCCTAAATATGTGGAATCTGTGAACAAAGAAGACAGAGATGAACCTGTTAATGCTAAATGTCACTTACCACTGGTGACCCAGCATTATGGGAGTAAGCCACACCTGATACTTTCCTTGGAGATTAGCTCCATCATTCAGATCAGGACCCAGAGCAGAATTTCCCAAAAGTCCAGGAGCGTTCAGATCCTGGGTTTGGCCCATCTCTAGTTCTTCAATACAGGATAACACCTTGCAGTCAAAAAGTTCACATCTGTGACCCCTTGCACAGCAGCAGGGTAGGTGTGTTGTCCAGGAATGCCATTAAAAGCACCCACTTGCTCCTTCTGTTGCCATGAGTGGCTAGGCGCAGAAAGAGGAGGAGGTCAGAGACAGCAAGGGCAGGCAAGCAAATGGTCAGTAGCCAGAGACAATACAATGGGATGGACAGGAAAGAGGACCAACCCTGGGACAGGTAAGGACCAACCCTGGGACAGGTGTGGCCCAGAGATGCAGGTTGTAATTTAGTCCTTAATCTGTCTCCTTGATGTAATGGAATTTACCCGGGCAAGGAATGACTGCTGTGAATGAAGATTTTCAGAATTAAGCCCACTAGGAGTTTTGCCAAAGCAAGGACTGAATAAATCCTGGGTAAAGAGTTTGGAATTAACATTATGACTCTCTCATTCTCGGTTAGGCTGGGTCATAGGTGGGCATGGCACTTGGTCAGCCCTGCAAAACCTCCAGACGCTGGTGGCCTCAAGGGTCCAGGGCGATCACAAAGTGAATTTTTGGCTGATGTTTTTATTAGAAGTCAAACTCTTGCCTCCGAAGGCGGAAGACCTAAGTGCCTGGCCCAGTCCTGGGTTCATACTGTTTGTTTTGTGGCCGCTGGAGAGTCTCCTGACACATTAAACATATTTGTTTTCAAATATTTGCCATTTGCTGGCTGAAGGATACAGCTTATGGGAAAGGCATTATTATAGAGGTGTGAGACTGTGCCCACAGCTCTCCCACTCAATTCATTATTCCAGATAAAAACCATCTCTACTATTGCTATCCTTTTTTCTGTGTATACTTTACAGCACATGTAATTCTGCCACGGTGCAGAACATACACACTCACCAAAAAAAAAACCCACCTGTGTGCAGTGCAGAGAGAAGGGGCTGAGTTGTCCACCTGACTCCCCCCCCCTAAAAAAATAATCCAGGAAAAGGCCAATGCTTGCCTCTGGCCCCCTATGCCAAGAGTTGTGTGGGGCATTTGAGGAGCAGGAATGATGTTTATATAGAGACCCTATTGCCCCATCAGTGGCTTCCAAGTGTCATTCACTGGGGCGTGATCGGTCCCCCTCTGTGCTGATCCACGGAGGAGATGAGTTGTTACAGCCCCCAGCTACAGTGCCTTGACCCTTTAGCTCAAGCTGTAGCAGCTCCAGCTCTGGAAATCCCTGGTGTACTGGCCCGGAGGGCGGCCATCACGTATGCACACCGTCCTGCTGCACCAATTATTCGTGTTCCTCTCAGCGGTGGTTTGTGCAGAGGGCTACGTGTGGGTGTGTAGAATACATCCGAAGCCGCTACTCCTTTTTTCTCACAGGCAGATTTTGTGGCTAATGGGTGGGAGCTCTTCCTGTGTGTGCTGGGGAAGCAGTCAGGCAATTGAGATTAAGAGCTGGAGACCATTCAAAAAGCCCATCTTCCCAGCAAGGATTTTGAATCTCACGCCCTGCCACCCTACAGTAAAACCTGGCTCGAGTGCAGCCCACTGCAGTCCCAGCAGGTTCTCCTCTGTGTCTCTGAACTAATCAGAATTGTAGCTTTGTGTATGGAAGATCCCAGCACCAACAGAAGTGATTCTCTGTCAGCCAAGTGACACAGGAGGTGCAGGTTTCTTGTAGTTGTTAAAAGTCTAAGAACCAGGTCCTGAAGTCCTCACTCAGGGGAAAATTTCACTGGGTGCTTTGCCTGAGTGTAAGGGCTGCTTGTGAGGAGCCCATGAAGTGCAATGTGCATCGTGACAAGGGTTTGGGGTTTGGCATACATAGACCAAGTGGCCTACGGGAATGGTGGTGTGAGACCTTAAGTCAGTTCATAGTGATGGTCTCTCCTGGCAGACAGGGATGGTGGAATTTGCAGGAGCACGGACTGAGGGTACTGCAGAAGCAGTATTCCGCTTTAGCGGATGAAAGAAATAACATGTGTTGCTCAGAAGAGAAACTGAATGAGTTGCATGCATCGTTTCTATGTTTCCAAAGGGAACTTTGGATTCGTGGCTAGGTAAATGGTGGAGATGAGGAGGGTTAAAGTTGTAAAACAGGGGTGAATCCTGGGGAAACCACCAAGGACTCACAGGACTCACTTCTTCAAATACGCTCTGCTCTGACTATATTGTGTTTTCTGTGAGATCAGTTATATTTGGGTTTATATTGTGTATTGCTAATATAAAACTCCCAGGGGAATGGGTGGCATTCAATATTGGTGTACTAAGAATTTTCATGATATGGTCCAAAGCTTTAAAATCTGGTTCTCTCCTCCCCTCCAACACACACAAATATTTGTGTACACAGTTAATGGAAATCAAGTATTTACATGTCTAACTGGCATTGATTGTGCCTTTAATTTTGCTGGTGAAAACAAAGAGGAAGTGACACATTGACACTGTTTTTTCAAAATCAGGTCATACACAGGTTTCAGAGTAGCAGCCGTGTTAGTCTGTATCCGCAAAAAGAACAGGAGTACTTGTGGCACCTTAGAGACTAACAAATTTATTAGAGCATAGGCTTTCGTGGACTACAGCCCACTTCTTTGGATGCATATTTATTCCACTCTATATGCACACGGAGGAG